GTGGGACAACTGCGCGTCCCACAAGATTGGCGTAGGAGTCATAGAGCTGAAGAAGCGTATCTTGGCATTTAGGGTTTAGGGTTTAGGGTTTAGGAATCCGCAGGATTTATCCTCAAAGCTTATTAGCATGTCTCCAATTATCTTTGCATGAGCTTTATTTTGGCTGTCGCGTGGTCCCAAGAGACCTCCAGCCCAAGGAAAGTTCCCAAATCCCAAGCCTCAAAAATCTACACACGGCTGGTACATGGACAGTGTCCGCCCGTTCCCACTTTTCGTATCCCCGAAAAAGATGAGCATCTGCCACGGGACGACTTGTTCTTGACATCCGCTTAGGGAAACTTTTCGAACTCTTTGAACCCTCCTGGACCTCTCGGCGTTAATAATTATAATAGGGTGCTTTGGGGCATATTATACTATAGTTATAATGAGGAACCCCCCTAGGTAAATTTATGTAGGCCCCTATATTAAACCTCAAACCCTAAACCCTGGGCTGACGGGCTCGTGCCCGACACCAGCCATGAGATCCCCATTCAAGGTTTTTAGGTTAAGCCTTAGGGTGCTGCGGGGGCTTGTTTAAACTTTAGGGCGAAGAGGTCTGCGGTGTGTTGAGGGTAGGGGCTTTAAGGGATAGGGGTTTAGGGTGTAGGAGTTTAGGCTTCAGTCTACATTGAGGGTAGGTCTAGGGTTAGGGTTGAGGGTGTTTAAGGTTTAGGGGTTTCGGGTTTAGGGGTTTCGGGCTTAGGGTTTAGGGTTTAGGGTTAAGGGTTTAGGGTCTAGGGGTGGTGATCTTGCAAAGGCTGGCTGCTACAGGGCAAGGTCTGTGGCGAGACGTTGGGGCCGGGTCCCAGGCACTCCTAATGACTTTCACCAAGGAGCATACTTTAAATCATATTGAGGATTCCCCATCAATATACATTTTTGGATGTTCTGCACAACATGATAGTTTCCTCCCTTTCTTCACCGCAAGCACTCGAGAAGAACAGCCAGCTTCAAAACGGAAGACTCCTGTCCTCGTGCTTTTGGGCTTTGGGCTGCGTTCGTAAACCACACAAACTTCAACCAAAACCTCTAACTCTGCACACAGACTGAAACCCTGAACCCCTGAACCACAAAAGCGCTAAACCCCTGAACCTTAAGAAACCCAAAACCTAGACAAAGCCTAAACCCTAAACCCTAAAGCCCCTAACTCGAACCTCTACAGAGTCAGACCCGGTTCTATCTCAAAGATCAATCCTCCACCTGACCTCCGTCCGGGCCCGAGTCTTCTAGCTGCGTCTGGGTTTATGGGCTTCATACAGTCATACACACCCTGTAGATCCTAAACCCTAAACCCTAAACCCGGCCTAAACCCTATAGATCCTAAACCCTAAACCCTATAAATCCTAAACCCTAAACCCTACAGATCCTAAGCCCTAAACCCTAAACCCTAAACCCTATAGATCCTAAACCCTAAACCCTAAACACTTCAGATCCTAGACCCTAAACCCTAAACACTTCAGATCCTAGACCCTAAACTCTATAGACCCTAAACCCTAAACTCTATAGATCCTAAACCCTAAACCCTTTTTGAGTCGCATGGAAGGATTGCGCCTGCAGAGTTTAGTTAAAGGCAACTACAGGTGGGGAGTTTAGGGTATATAGGGGTTTAGGGTTTAGGCTTTAGGGCTTTAGGGCTTTAGGGGTTTAGGGTTTAGGGTACATAGGGCTTCCATAAGGCTTCCAGAAGGTATATAGACTGTCTATAAGGCTCCTATAACCGTAACTACCAACCTGAAAATGTCCTAGATTGAGAGAAACTTCCGGCCCTCAGATGAAGGAATAAGCCATGAGTCTACTCAAGGATCCGAACAACTTCCCCAAAGGTCCTAAGGTTTAGGGTTAAGGGTTTAACAGCTTCCCCAAGGGTCCTAACGGCTAGGGTTTAGGGTTTAAGGTGTAGGGTTTAGGGCAAAGTACCTATATTGTAGACTGCAGGGTTTCCATAGTAGGGATTGCTATTCTGATTTGGGAATGTATCCCCCATAACAATACCTAGGACCCTTTGGGCTTGCGAGGTGGCCTCCAACAATCACGGTACGTATGTATGTATGTATGTATGTATGTATGTATGTATGTATGTAGGTATGTATGTATGTACGTATGTATGTAAGTGTCCGGCATGTATGTAGGTATGTGGGTCTGGTCTGTAAGCATGTGTGTATGTGTGTATGGCTTCCGCATGTGTATATCTGCCTATACAGCACGCGCGAGAGAGGGGGTTAGGGCAGAGAGAGGCATGGAGCAAGAGAGAGGGATTGCTTCATGACTAATACAGGGGCCTTCATAATCAGAATCGTGTTTTGGGGTACATCATACTATAATCATAATCCGGAGCCTCCAAAATAGCCTTGGTAATTATGTATGCCCCTATATTCGATGCAGACAGTTCTTGTCGCTGGAATTGAGAGCCGAGCCCAACAGCGCTAAGCTCCAAACCTTAAACCCTAAACCCTAAACCCTAAACCCTAATCCCTAAACCCTAAACGCCAAAGCTCAAACCCTGAGCCCTGAAAGTTGATATGGGGGGGTTCCGAAAATAGGGTACCCTAATATGGTACCCTAAATAATAGGATCCTTATTATAAGGGCCCCCAAATAAGGTACCCTAATTTTTGGAGGCTCCCATATGCAAGCGAAGCTCCCATGCTCTCTTGCAGAACCCCATTCTCGTACTCTGTGGCGTTTAGGACGTCCTGTGCATGGGTCAAGTTTGGCTTTAGGTCGAAAGCTTCGGCTCTGCAGTACTGTGCTTCAAGGTGCTCAGGTTCGAAGTTTAGGGTTTAGGGGTTTAGGGCTTGAGGATTAGGGTTTAGGGGTTAGGGGTTTAGGGTCTAGGGTTTAGGGCTTAGGGTTTTAGGGGTACTTCTTGTACTGGAGTTTATGGGTTGAGCGCTTGGGGGAAGGGAGGTTTCTCCTTACTTGTGACCCTGGCATACTGCTTGAGGGACACACCAAGGCACATACAGAACCCATCTGCAAGTATGCCTGAAGGTCGCCAGTCCAGAAACTGAAGTCCGTGGACCTTTGAACCTCAACTCTATACTAGGGTTTAGGGTTTAGGGTTTAGGGTTTAGGGTTTAGGGTTTAGGGTTGGGCACCAACCTAAACCCTAAACCCTGAACCTTAACCTTAGAAATTGAACTCAAGCCTCCAGGCCTGTAAACTGTAAATCCTAAAACCGCTAACACCAAGCCTACAGTCACCAACCGATCTAGTCAGGGTCTCGGGGGTTTAGGCTTTGGGGTTTGGGGTTGTGGTTTAAGGGTTTAGGATTTAGGACTTACTGTAGGGTATAGGGTCTATGGCTTTATGGTCTGCGGTTTTGGGTTTTGTCACGTCCCGGCGTAGAGGGTTCAACAACCTAAAAGACGAGGCTGAATGATAGGCTCTTCGTGTCTTTACTGATTTAGGGCCTGTTGTGCTCAAGACTGCAGCGTGTCTGCTTATCCAGAAAACATATAGACTCGAAGTGCGAAGTGTGCACAACATAACCATTTAGTAGTAGAACCCGGGGGTAACAGCGGATTCAAGTAATTAGACGAAATCCCTCAACCCTAAACCCTGAAAGACCTAAAGCCCTGAACCCCAACTTGGACTTCGTTTTTTACGGCATTGAACAAGATTGTTGGCTTTAGACTCTCAGGGACCTAGGTAGAATTAGTAATTTCATTCCTTACGGTTCGATTATAAGTATAAGCAGCAAGAGGACCATATAGCCCCAAACCCCCTTGTCATCATTGAGGCCTCCAAGGCCTGTGGAGCATGTGCGAGATTTGGGGCCATCGCTTAAAGTCAAGCGCTGCAAAACAGGACATTCAAGACCCCTAAACCCTAAACCCTAAACCCTAAACCCTAAACGCTAACCTTAAACCCGTTAGGGTTTAGGGTTTTTGGCTGTTTTTTGAGGGACGGAAGGCACCCACGCCGGCCTTCGAGCTGGCGGTGGCTGTGTCCACGCTCCCCTCGACAATGGATTTAAATCTTGTCCACCTTCGGTTTAGGGTTTAGGGTTTAGGGTTTAGGGTTTAGGGTTTAGGGTTTAGGGCAAGAAAGATTTGGGGGGAGTGGGTGGGGGAAGGGGATTATCAGGACGTGCATCCCGTCTGTATAAGCAAATCCGTGAACCCTAAACCCTAAACCCTGAACCCCTAGCCCCTAAA